TATATATATATATATATAAATAAACTGAACTTAATTGAATAGATGGATTCCCCAGCATACAGCTAGAGGATATTCTGATAATATCCTTCACAGAGAAAACAAAAAAATTTAATAATTCAGCTTATATTATGTTAGTAAAAATGTTGAATTTTCATTACACTTTTAAAAAATGTAAGAGTGATTTTTTTTTTCTTCCTGAAATGAATTTAAATGTATTTTCTCTTAATTTGAGTATAGGTATAAAAAACTGTTTGGAAATTGATTATTTACATTTTAAACAAGAAAAAAAAATCTCAACCCATTATCTTATTGAAAGCATATCTAATGATCTTATTTTAAGGGTAAAAATAATCACTCCATTAACCAATAATCCTATTTACATGCTCAAATTGAGGGTAAATACATTTATTTGAAGAAATAATCACTAGTTTTCTCATCAGTTTTTGCAGTGGCAGTATTTAATCTTGATCTGTGTCAGTGAAAGTAATTTAATATTTCATTTTAAGTGTTTTAAATGTGATAACGAATAAATGCTAAAAACTTCATCACAAAAAGGAAATATTTCTATTATAACCATACCTGATAGTTGCAGGATCTCTGATCATAGATTTCATTTATTATCACTTCAACCTGGAATCACTGTAATATTTTCCTGACCAGCCCTCCTGAAATGTTGAAGTTTTTAATAAACAACGATGTAAACTGATAACAAACGCGTTAGATGCACACAGTAGAACAGTATGGCGACAGTTTGCTTTGCAATAAAACAATAGCTATTATGCTGACTGTTGCGCAGTATGCATTCTGGGAACTTTCTCCCTCAATATGCATTTAGAGGAAGTGAGAATGACATTCACCCATATAGGCTGCAGACCGCATTCGACCTTTGGAACAACATGTTCTGCAGCTGCTCTGCTTCTGTTTGTAAAATCACAAAATAAGAGACAGAAACTGCCTGTTCCTCTGCATGAGAGTGTTCCCTGGATAAACCCCAACCATTCCCCCCTGATTATTATTATTATTATTTTTTTTTCCCATATATATATTTGACTGACATACCGGCTTGGAGATGCCAGTCAGCCATACGTCAATTTTCACAGAGATGCAAGAACAAACGGGGAAACCAAGCAGGAGGATTTACACAATAAAAGCATGCGAGTAACGAAAAGCTGGTGCAATACTAAAAACTGTGCAAGTAAAATATTGTGATTAGTAAGAAGAAACAATATAGCCTTTATACACTAAGGGGCAATTATAAATCCAAGTTAAACCTGGTTAAAATAAAAATAATTAAAGAACAGCTTTAATAATTAGTTTTCTTTTAATTTATTAGTGGTGCCATTAAATAGATGATATGGGATGACATCCTTTGTTGCTCCATCTTGATTCCATTTTGTCCAGACCGATTCAATGTTATCAAAATTTGTTTTTTCTAAAGGATACTACGATCACTTAGATGAAAGTTTAAAAGAGATATAGGCTAGTATCCTAAAACTCAGATTACTATAGGTTAAAAACCTTGAAATGACGTGTTGTGAATTGGTGCTATATAAATAAACTGAATTGAATTAATGGAAATACCACAATTGCGAAACATTTTAGAAATAAGCGGAATACAACTCCTGATTTTTAGATTTATAGAGTGGCGGTTCGAGACCAAATTGACCAGGGCAAAACAGGTTAGGGCCAGTGCTTTTCATGGCACTCAAAAAATAAATAAAACAAAAGTTTAATATGTTATCTATATTTAGAAAGACAGTGTCATAAAGCCAATTACAAACTTTTAAATTCCAGTTAAAAAAGTTATTGGAAAAAAATAATTCAGGGGAAAAAACAGTTGGCATACACTGGAAACCCTGGAAGGTTAATTAAAATGTAAACTTACGGTATGTGGAATCCACTACCTCAAGAAGAATCTAGCAAACAGTCTAGCAAATAAACTTTTTTTATGGAAGGAAATACAATTAAATATCTATATATATTAGAGCAAATCGTTTTTCATAAGCCTTTTGCCTAGACTGAAATTAAATTGAACTTGTAACTGAACTTTTATTCAATTCAATTTCAATTCAATTCAGTTTATTTATATAGCGCCAATTCACAACACGTCATCTCAAGGCACTTTACAGTTCATACAGTCAAATTGATTCAGAGTTTTCTATTTAAGGAAAACCAGTTGATTGCATCGACTCATTGACTCGAATGCAATCCCTCATACTAAGCATGCTTGTAATGACAGTTGAGAGGAAAAACTCCCTTTTAACAAGAAAAAACCTCCAGCAGAACCAGGCTCAGTGTGAGCGGCCATCTGCTGAGACAGACTAGGGTTCAAAGAGACAGAAGCAGAGATATAAAAAGCAGCTGTAAAAGGCGGCCCCGTCCACGAAACACCAGCCAGACGAGCTCCGAGCCAGCTCCCATGTCAGAGGATGAAGAGAGCACATCCAGCCAGTCACAGTCAGAGAAACAGGACTACACTGGAAAACAGGCCAATCTCCACCATCTAATTCACAGCCCATCAATAACATCTAATTATTGGTTTCACATTGGAGAAATTTAGCTCTGCATTCAACCCACCCCCCTGGGGAGCAGAGGCGTAGCCAGAACATTTTTATAAGGGTGGCCAGGCAATAATCAATGTACAGTGAGGGGTGGCTGAAAGTAGATAGGCACCAAAACCTCACCGGCAATCTACACTGTTCCTACAGGAAAATTAACGAGCAAAACATCTGTAGTTTCTAAATAAAGACAAACTATACTTTCCCACAGCATTTGCTAACAAATAGACAAATATATTCAAACATCCGTGCTTTCTAGATAAAAGGTATAGCAGATAAAATTCTTTCAGGTTTGAGTTCTGAGGTTAATATCTTTTCCATTGTCAATACTTACCTACTTTTATTAGTAATCATTCTGCATAAAATTGACATTAACAAGTAGGCCCTACTAATATCTACATAAAATTATGATTTATTGTTTTATTAAAATATTTGTTTATGTATGATTTTACTGAAGACCTCTAGACGACTTGCAGAGACGCATAATTTTCTCTTTACCCCATAAAACACAAAATCTAGTTCTGAAAAGAACATGAATTCTGTACTTATCATCTTAAATGTTAGTATATTGATGTGCATAATATACCATTGTGTTTTTGTCGTCAAGTAATTGTTAATATATGAAAAATTAAAATATTTTGAATTATCCAGTTGAGAGTATTACTGTTGCCACCATCTGTATTAGAGGGAAATAAACGGTAGGGGTGGCCACAGGGGTGGCCAATGATTGACTAAGGGTGGCCATGGCCTCCCTTAGCCAATCATTGGCCCCCCATCTAGCTCCGCCCCTGCTGGGGATCTGTGGACCTCAGGATTCCAAGCTCTATGCCCTAACCACTCCACCACTCCCCTACTAATTATTTAACATTTTCAAGGATATTCTATCCAGTAGTTCACACTACTTAGTTAAAATTTGTAAAAACAAGTTGATGAAGTTGACAGCTTTAGTATCATGTATTTTTTTTTTACTCTTACATTATCAGTTAATTTGATGGCTACATTTTGCTTTGACTCAAGTGGAAATATGTTGAAGCTTGGCTACTTTTACTTGTTTTTCTGCCCACCTCCATGTAAATGTTCCAAATGGTTAAAGCGGCAGACAGCAGCTTTATTTTGAAAAGTCATAACGGAAGCTCTGTTTCCATCCAGTCTGGCTCGATAGTGCGCGTGTGGAGGGGAGGGTGAGGGTGTTCTTCACAGGCTCCGGGCATCCTCAGACAGGTGGAGGAGACGTCCTCAAGCAGCTGAACCGCACCGCGCTCGGACTGGGCTGGGCTGCGGGACGAGCGGCGGCGTTCGCTGCGCGCGCTCGGTGCACGGATCCCCCCCACCCCTCCTTCCTCCTCTTCTTCCTCCCTGCAGCTGATGCCTCATCCGAAAACATGCTTTGGCTGATTCCTCCTCATCCTTATCCCCCGCACACATGCTCGGTATTCCCAGCGCGCACGCGGGGAGGACGAGGGATGTAGCCGCAGCTGGATAAATGAGGAGAACCCATGGGCTTCAGCTTCTTCCCTGAGATTCTCACCGTTTAACCGGGGATATCACACCGCCGCTCCGGTCATGGAGAGCCAAGCAGTCGAGCCGCAGAGCTATGAAGATGTGCAGAAAAGCGGCTACCTCCGCAAACACAAATCGATGCACCGGCGGTTCTTCGTGCTGAGGGCGGCCTCGGAGCACGGTCCGGCTCGGCTCGAGTACTACGAGAACGAGAAGAAATTCCGCAGTAAATCACCTGTGCCCAAGAAGGTCCTGAACCTGGAGACCTGCTTCAACATCAACAAGCGGGCGGATTCCAAGAACAAGCACATGATCGTGCTCTACACCCGCAGCGAGAGCTTTGCCATCGCTGCGGACAGCGAGGAGGTCCAGAATGAGTGGTACCAAGCCATGCTGGATCTCCAGTGCAACTGTAAGACACGCAGCGTGGGCTGTGATTCTCTGTCTGTTTCTCCATCAGGCCTGTCCCGCCCTGTGGGCTTGTTGTTCTCCATCTATCCAGATTATTAAAACCCATTTTTTAAATTTCCATTCTAATATTTGCTGCAGGTATTGTTTATTTGTTTATTTCATGCAATGTTAGGATAACTCAGAGCAAATATAAGGTATGTAAAGCAGAAGGTGCGTCTGGCTGAGCGGGGTAGACCATAACGCTACGGGCGGCATGCGTTATGTGTTTGTGCACCAATCCTAATGAGCCTCAGTATATTACAGAGCGAAATAGAGGAACAGTTTCTGTCAGCAGAATAAATAATGTGATGCATTCAATTGTTCGTGCATGCTTCAACACAAAATCATTTAGTCTGACTAAAATGAAGCCCGCATTCGTTCACACGACGGCGTGTTTTGCATGACGCAGTGGGCATATAGCAACCATCCGCGGGATGCATCACATAGTAGTAGCCTATCGCAGCGCGCTCCGCTGCAGCCTGTGTTTTTGTTTTTCCTGCAAGGCTCCTGACTTGCAGTTCGCCTAACCTACATTCTCGATGCACGGAATTTGAGGGGAGTTTTTTTTCTTTCCATGATATCGTGAACGCGCTCTTTAATGAAAATTGTTAAGTTATTTTTCTCTTCTGGTTATCGTCGTGTTTACGTTTTTAGCAGACCACCACCCACATTCCTCCCCCTTTTGATTTGCGTCTCTGTTTGTGACGGATGGTACCTGCCCCGCTCCGAGGTGTTGTGCGCTGCGTTGGGATTTTGTTGACATTGCAATATATATATATATATATATATATATATATATATATATATATATATATATATATATATATATATATATATATATATATTGGCTGATTTACCATTAGGCAATACTAGGCAGTTGCCTAGGGCCCCAAGTTCATGGGGGCCCCCATAAAAATCTGTTTACATGTGTAGCTATTAAGGTACAGCTATTACTTATTTGTGCTAATTGTTTTTGATAAAAATCCTTTTGTAGGAAGAAAAAGAATGTCTATAATATTAAGTATGCCTCAGCACCCCCCCTTCAGTGTCCACCGTATTGGATCAGTCTATTTGCTGCACATGTTCAGAAAAGGTCCAAACAGACAGCATCAAACTATTTGAAAACAAATGATGCGAAGAGCAGTGTTGCAAACTTAGTACTTGTGTCGCTATATTTAGCAACTTTTTAGACCCCTCTGGTAGTTTTATTTAAAAAAAAAACGGCTAGTGCCAAATCTAGCGACTTTTTTCTGCTACTGGAGACTTTGGCAACAACATATAAAAGCACCAAACTCTGCTCTCCAGAGCAAGTAGATTGGTAACCCCGCCTCCTGCTCTCCTCTTTCTTGCTCTCATCATTCATGCAGCTATTATTTCATCCAAATGAAAAATGGAGAACAGATAAGCAGATCATGGCTTGTCTACGGTGAAAAGAAGGAGTGTGTTATTTACTTTTGCCTTTTTGGAAACACAGGAAGGAGCAATCAGCTAAGTGAGCTTAGTGCTTGGAAAAAATCCTTCATTCCTTTTGAGACAGCATGAAAAGTCAGCTGAGTACAAAACATAGAGAGGGAAACAACAAGAAAAGGGTCAAGAAGAGGGGGGCAAAACCTAGAACAAATAATGTATGTCTATTCTATTAAAATTTCTGAATTTGTATAATGGGTCTGTTTTATGTGTTGTCTTCTCAGTTCAGAGCCCCCCCTGCCTGTCTTTGCCTAGGGCCCCAAATTTACTAAATCCGCCCCTGAGTGTAATGACAATAAAACACTGGAACAACAAAAAAAAAACTTTTAAGAAATGGAATCTTCATGAGAGCTGTACAAAACAATTTTTTTTAAATTCATTCTGTGTATACAGAATGTTTAAGTTTAAGTCTAAAAGCTTCTCATTTACAAACAATCTGGTCAAGAGGCTGCATGAATGAATAAAACATACAGTACATCCACAATACAAAAAAAAACACATTTAAAGAAATAGATATATCAAGAAATAAAAAAGGTACTTAATTGTGAGTTTACAGGATTATTGGCAGGAACGGGAGTCAACTATAGTGTTTTGAATGTTCTGCTTGAATGTAGAGATCAGAGATGTAGGTTTCAGGATGTTCTTGAGTCATTTGCTGCAGTGAATTGAAAGCAGTTGCATCCAAAGGTTGTAAGTGTTGGGGTAAACTTTGTAATATCACTTGATCCTATTTGATAAGTGTTTGGAATAGCATGAAGATGGGATGACAAATAGAAACACACAAGGAGATAGCTTTACTCAGGAAGACCTCTTACTAACTCGCTAATCTCTATCAGGACCTAATATTGCTATGTAACCATCTGAGAAAAAAAAAAAAAAAAAAAAAAAAAAAAAACACATTGTAAGGATAACACTTCAGCAACATTTAAAATCTTTGCTAAAGATTTAGGTAATCCACCAAACTTGAGCTTGAACCAATTTTGGTGCCTTAGCTGCTCAACTTTCCTTTACTCATTTAAACCACAGTTGATTGAGGCTTTATTCTGAAAAGGTCTTTGTGTGACCCATGTTTGGGTCACACAAAGTTTGTGGATCTACATGAGGCTTGTATGCAGTGGTGGAGCTAGCACATTTAAATAGTGGTTGAGGAACAACGAGGAACTAGACCAGGGACAGTCTACTTAAATCACACAGTACCAACAGAAAAATGTACAATCGAGTGATGTAAACAAATTATCAACTTACTATTAATTGTGGATCAATGGAAGTGATTTCATTTTTGTTCCATTTTATTGATTGATAGCGTCTGCTTGGGAAGAATTTCTTTGAGTGATGTAATATTATGGCAGTCCACTAGATGGGACCTAGAGTGGACCGCCAGAGAATTTGTCCATAGCTGTCTACTAGACTTAGATAACTTTTATTTTCATTTTGTATACACAGAGTGTACACAAATGACATTTCATTTTGTATAGCTTTCCAGACAGTAAATTAACATTTAAAACAGTGTGGGAGAATAAAAACATGGTACAAAAAAAAAACGCATCGATATGGAAGTTCAGAGCATTAATATATATGGTGCAAATATGCAGTATTATTGGTTTGGTGTCATCAGTGTGACGCAGTGTCTGTAACAGGATTTAGAGTTTTTCAAAAGTTCAGCTAGGGCTGGGCAATTAATTGCATTTGCAATATAATAAATACAAAATTTAACAAAACACACAATTTAAATCGCAGAGGCGCTTATTTTTAATCAAACTGATCTATGCCAAGTTTGGACCAAGCTTGGATCAGTTAACCGTGCCGAGCTTGGTTCTTACGACCTTTTACACATCACGCTAGCACGGCTCCTCGCCCCCTATTGGCAGTCCACGATACTACAGCCGTCAAGGCGGGAATTACTCAAACAAAAATGGCAGTGCCCATAACATTGAGGAATTTATATGCCTAGATAGCGTCCTCTGCCCAAATTTCAATGAGAGCCTCAGTATGACATCATCCCAGGTCACGCCACGCTCTTTTGATGCTATTTATTTTTTAAAGGCTGAAAAGAAGTTTTCTCCTGTGAACAGGTGAAGAGATCTGTGAATTGCAAAGCCAGACATTTGCAATTCAGTGTTTTCATGGTACTTGCATAAAAAACCTGATTTAGTTGACTACATTTTTTTTCAGGTAATATATTTTCACAGAAGTTATAAGTTCAGTTAATATACTTGGGTTTGCAGTGGCACCTTTATATCCATAGGGGTTCCACACAAAAGATAACCACAGAAATTAATAATAATAGTAAAAAAAAAACATTACAGAAACTGAGGAGGAAGACAATGAACTGGGACTGGCTGGTGGCTGCTTATTGCATTTCAACTTATATCTGAAGTTTGAAGTTGTATCTTGTAATATCTAATTCAGATATCTAACAAAGCTGAATATCTCTGAGCAATAAAGTTAACAGGGTATTGTATTCTTCTAGACGATAACTGAGATTCAAGCCGTCAGTGGTGAAAATACTACTACTGTTATGATGTAAATAGATGCTTTTTTCCTGTTTGTCTAGATCTAAATAAAATATGGCAAAAGTAAATTTTTGCTGTAACACACTGAATGTAACTCAAGTAACTTGACATTATGGCAGTACTTTGTTGCTTGATTTTAAAGCTGCAAATATTTATTGAAAATATTTAAACTCAAGCAATAGCTTAGTTTAGTTTTTAAAGTAATGTCATCCTTTATCAAAGTTTGAGATCTGTGGAATTATCTTAAATATTTTCTATAATTTTATCTCCTATTCCCTGAAGGACATAAATGAAATTATAAAGTGCAACTAAAGGGATCTAGATTAATTGCACTGAAAAAGCTGGACTGAAAATAAATAAAAGCAATTCTTAAAATGTTCTATTTTTAAGCATAAATCATCTTATTCCATTGGCAACTTGTCCTACTTCACTGATTAAATCAAAGGAAAATACTTTTGTTCATTGCAAAAATTTAAATATAAGTAATTGTTTTATTGAAACAAGTGTATTTTCGCTTTATTTGAGCAGGTAAGACAATCTGCCAATGGAATAAGATGATTTACATAATATGCAAAACATTTTCTTATTTTAGGGGGGCAATACTCATTCCATTAACAGATCATGCATTTACTTTGTTTTGGGTTTTGGGTAAATGAACTCTATTTTATATTTTTTTATTTAATACATTTTTAGATGGATTTTTAGATAGAGTTGTTATTATTTCCGACTTATAGTTACATTTTTGCAATGTGCCTGTCATTTTCACAATATGACAGATATGTTATAAAATGTCAGATCTACTTGTATTTTTTTACATTTGGAGGCATAATTAACTTGTTTTTTATCCTTTGTTATCTTCCCAGGTAAAACCCCTGAAGACTATGGCAGCAGTGGGGAGTGTAGCTCTCCATCTCCCATCCCAACATTTAAGGAGGTATGGCAAGTCAAGGTTTGGCCTAAAGGTCTTGGACATGCCAGAAACCTGGTGGGCATCTACCGGTTGTGCCTAACTGATAAGACAGTCAACTTTGTCAAACTCAATTCTGACGTGGCCGCCGTGGTGCTGCAGCTGATGAATGTTCGCAGGTGCGGCCATTCAGAGAACTTCTTTTTCATTGAGGTGGGACGCTCAGCAATCACAGGTCCTGGAGAGTTCTGGATGCAAGTGGACGACTCTGTGGTGGCTCAGAACATGCACGAGACCCTGCTGGAGGCTATGAAGGCCCTGAGCGAGGAGTTCCGACAACGGAGCAAGTCTCAGTCTGTAGGAACATCATGTGGTGGTGGTACTGCTTCGAATCCCATCAGTGTGCCGAGTCGGCGTCATCACCCGAATCTGCCACCGAGCCAGGTGGGCTTTTCCAGGAGAGCACGCACTGAGACTCCAGGAACAGGTGGTAGCAGCACAAGCACTTCCCCCACTTCAAGACACGGGTTTCCAAGGGCAAGGACAGCCAGCATTGGAGCCCGGTCAGAGGAGGGAGGAGCGAGCGCCAGAGGGACATGGGCCAGTTCCAGCCCAAGTCTCAATGGATCCTGCTCAACTACTCCAACGCTAAGACCCAAACCCACCAGGGCCCCGACCCCAGCAAAGATTACCTTGAGCCTTGCACGTTACACACCCAACCCTGCTCCCTCTCCTGCACCAAGCCTGTCCTCCAGTTCAGGTCACGGATCTGAATGTGGCCTAGTTGGGTCTGTGGTGGGAGGCATGTCCATTTGCTCCTACGCCCGTGTTTCTCAAAGAGTTTCTGTTTCAGGTTCACCGAGCGACTATGGATCCTCAGATGAATACGGCTCTAGTCCTGGTGAGCACTCTCTGCTAATACCAAGTCTGTCTGGACATCACTCACACGGAGAAGGCTCCTCCAGCTACATAGTAATGGGACAAAGAGAAGGGCTGCACGGCTCCCATCATTATTCCAAAGGCAGACGGATTTTGCGACGCTCGTCTAGTCGGGAGTCTGAGGCCGAGCGAAGGCTGCTGAGTAAGAGGGCTTCACTGCCTTTGGCAACTCATGAAAGACTGACCCCGCACAGAAAAGATGAAGATGATGATGACGAAGAAGAGTACGCCATCATGTCACGGAGTACTAACAGAGAGAGGACAGATCTGCATCGGGGCTCAGAGAATCCAGCAGTTCAGGCCAGGCGGCTTGAAGATGAAGGGAAGAACAGGAAGAGGGCTGACAAAAGCAGGGCACATGGGGGTGAAGGAGCAACTGTAGACAGCGGCTATATGTCAATGTTACCCGGGGTGACATCCCCGCCTGTTTCGCTGTCTCTTTCGATGGGAATGTATGACTCCGGGGCTAAACCGGGGGCGGATGACGAGTACATGGCCATGACCCCAAACAGTAGTGTGTCCCCCCCTCAGCACATCCGCCAACCCACTTCAGAGGGCTATATGGTCATGTCCCCTAACAGCAGCAGTTCTACAGACCTGCACGGGCTGGGCATGTGGGAGAGCAGGGCGAGCATGGAGAGCCGGGTAGCCGGTGATTACATGAACATTTCCCCCATCAGCAGCCGCTCCGCCTGCAGCACTCCGCCTTCACACCCTGAGCAGCACCAGTTGCAACCCAAAATGTTCAACTCATACTTCTCACTGCCACGAGCCTATCAGCACACCCTCTATACTCGCTTTGAGGAGGACTTGAACAAAGGAGAGGAAAAAAAAGACAGTAGTGGGAATGACAGTGCTGGAAGGGGAGGGAGAACGGGGTACAACAAAAGAAACAAAATAGCAGTGGGCTCTGCAGGAGGCTGCCAACTCTCCATGTCCTCCTCTTCTTTCTCCTCCAGCTCTGCCAGCAGTGAAAGCCTTGAAGACAAGTCCCTATCTACCGGCCGAGGGTTGAGTTTATTAAGAACCGGGACAGAATACAAAAGTGCAGGAACATCCACAAAGGATGGACGTCACCACCAAAAACGTTCATCTAGCAGTAAAAGCCCGAAGCAGCAGAGGAGGGGGCGTCCCCTGAGCGTATCTTCAGATATTGCAAAGGCAAACACTTTACCAAGGGTTAAGGAAAATCTACCACCATCAGGATCCCAGAATGTTGGGGACTATGTCAGCATTGTCTTTAAGGAAGACAGTGCATACGATAAGGGCAGGAGTGGACCGCCCATTATCCATGGAACTCTGCGCCCCATAAACCAGCCTCTCCTCGGTCACGATAACCCTGCTAACCTTCCCCGCAGTTTCTCTGCACCGCTGTCCACCTCTGCAGAGTACGTGAATATGGATTTAGGGAAATCCACAACACCTCCAACTCATGTTAGATCCACCTTCAGTACCCTACAGGGTCCAGCAGCTGTCATCCCCAAGGCCCGACATGAACATGGCTCATCCTCTCCGCTGGCAGCAGAAGGTTACAGAGCAAAAATAAACACTGCAACAGTGCCGACTGATGTTCCAGTCCATTTTATTGATAGCAAAGGTTCAGATTCAAGGAACTCAGTAAGACCTGCCATTCATTCTAGTCAACCTCTATCTAGAGAGCAGGAGACAAGTTTGGAGTCTTCCCCGGTTAAGTCCTTCCAGTCGCCAGACCGGAGCAGCAGACTGGTCCGAGGTAATCAGCAGGGACACTTGAGCCACAGATCTGAAGCATTCAGCTCACCATCATCTTTACCACCATACCCATCTTCTTCTACCTCCCTCTTCTCTGAGGGCAACCAGGCAGCCAGCCGGCAGGGTTTGGATTGCTCACTGTGGGAGAATGGGCAGGCCTCCGGTTTGTCTGCCCCATCTCCACCACAAGCCTCCACCTCATCCACTGAACAAGGCCTTAACTACATAGACCTTGACCTAGCCTTGAAGGAGAGCGCTCAGACTGGAGTGGAGCACACCTCATCCGTCTACAATGTTGGAGGGAGTACAATGGGAAGCAGTGTTGGCTCTGCCCTTAACACTTACGCCAGTATTGATTTCTACAAATCAGAGGAACTTCGAACGAGCCAGAACAGTAGAAAGGATGGTCAAGGTGAGTTTTGTGGGTATTTAGACTAAGAATATCTCACATAAAAAAAGAAGTGTTTAGTACACTGCCTGGCCAAATAAAAAATTGTCACCAGAAAGAAAAAAAAATGGTCACACACTCTTCGTTGGACTGCCTTTAGCTTTGATTACAGCATGCACTAGCTGTGGCATTGTTTCCATACATTCCTGCAAAAGAGTTGCAAGATTTAATTCCACACATTGATGAATATTTCAGCAAGATCTTGCATTGATTACGGTAGTTTTACTGCTGCCCAAGCCTTCTCCTGCACATCCCAAATATTCTTAATGATGAATGATTCAATCCATGTACGAAGATTATGTCTCATGCTGCCTAAACAATTCTTTCCAAATTTGAGTCTGCATCCTTGCATTGTCATCTAAGAATATGCCCGTGCCATTAGGGAAGAAAAAAAAATCCATTGATTGAATAACCTGGTCATTAAGTAGATTTAGGTACTCATCTGACCCAATTTTTTGAGCTCATAATGTTTTTGAACCTTTATTTGACCAACTGCAGTAACCCCAGACCATAGTACTGCACCCACAGGTTTGTAAAGAAGGCTTTAGGCATGATGGGTTCATCATTTTACCTGTCTCTGATCTGTCCATTACCCTGGAATGGGAAATATGGACTCATCGGACCTTATGTCCTTCTATCATTCTTTATGTTTCCTAGCAAATTCAAGACCCCTTTTTTTCCCCGTTAGCCTCAATGATTAGTGATTTTCTTATGTTCTACAGGTGTTCAGTCTCAATCCCTTAATAGCCACCTTCACATTGTTCATGTGTAAATGCTGCAACTGTCACTATTAAAAATAGCCCAAAGTTCTTCTCTGGCTCTCTACAATACGATTTCACCAGACGTTTAAATGAACATTTGTCATGATCGTTCAGGATTTTTTTCCAGCTCCAATTTTTCCTCAGAGACGATGGGTCCCCTCTATCCTTCCAGTCCTTAACAATGTGTTGGTCAGTTCTTAATCATTGCTAGTTAAATAACTTGTTGCCAGCTAAAAAAAATATAATCACCAATGCAGTAATTTTCTTATGGGAAGCTAAAACCAATTTGCATTGTGAAATCCAGGTGGCAACATCTTTTTGGGCAGGCAGTGTGTGTACTTCAACATTAATCTAATATATTGTATTATCGAGTAAACGAAAAGTTTAGAAGAACATGCAATCCAGGAATAAAACCTTCACAAAATCTAATAAAAAAATCTTTTTAGAGGTTTTTTTTTTTTGCAATTTTATCAAAATATTTGTTTCATATTATTTTGCTATGTTTATTTTGTATTTTATTTACAGATTAATATTATTTTTTTCTTTTTTTCTTTTTCAAACTGAGTTTTAAAAAATGCATTTTTTTTTTTCAATTGCTTCCACAGATCACATTCTCTTCACTTCAGGCTTAAAACAAAATTGACTGATAAAAATGTTGCTAACATCCAGCAGACCAAAAGAAATGCATATTTGCTCCTTACTATAGAGGAAAGCACGTCCCCTGAAGTGAAGACAATTGATTTGTAAAAAGCTATTTTAAATGCAACTCAATCTCAAAAATACAAATTAGAAAAACAAAAATTCAAAAAGATATAATTTAAAAATTAATGTGACGACATAAAATATGATTAAAAAAAATATTTTAAGTAAACAAATATGAGAGAACAGCAAAGCCACTCTTAAAACCTTTTTTGTTTAATAGGCATTTCTGTGTTTAATTTCCGGATTGCATTTTATTTTTTCCCATTAAAAAACATGTTTGTTGCTTGGAATTATAATAGAGCACAATTCACTCAATATTTTATTAAAAAAATTTTTTTTTATTTTTCTTACTCTTTTGAAACTTAGGGTAATTATAAAAAACAGAGAAAGACAGGACACTCTTGAACCTTAAGTTTGCTCTTCTATTTTCTGATTCTGTTATTTAACAAAACATTTGTCATCCATGAAGTGCATGACCAGTGTTTTCGGCCTCTCCTGGGTCTTGGTATTTATGAGAAAAGCCTTTACTCTTGTCAAGATAGAGAAGCATCTCTTAGCTTTGTTTTTTTTATGGGTTTGGTCAAGATAAGCTTGAGACAGTTGAACTGAAAAAAAATTCTTCCACATTGTTCTCCGTTAACAACTGGTACACAGCACCACAGCAGGCAACAAGCTCTTCTTTTCTTAAGATGAGACAATGTTTTGTCTTGGTCCCATTAATGCACTGGCTAGGTCTCCAGTGTGCTGTGCAGTGCATTTTGAGGAAATCATCTGATGATCTTCAAACCTGTTCCCCTGCAGCGAAGCTGCACAGACAAGATGGTCTGTGAAGGCGAAGCGCTCCACAGTGTTTCTGGTGTTACTGACCTACAGAGAGATGAATACAAATATACAGAATAATAAAAAATTAGAAAATTAAGTCTTATTTATACAGTTATTACTTAATATTTAAGAAAAAATTAAAAACTAGCATATAGTTATATAGTAACCAAAAAGTTTTACACATACATACTCATTTTGCCCCCATGCCTCACCATTGAAACCTCTATTTAGACTAGTAAAACAAATAAAATGGATCCAAACGAAAGTAAGGCTGAAAAGTTTAGGTCAGGCACATTTTATAAAAGAAAAAAAATTTGATTATTATTACTGATTATTTACTAATAATTTATGTTTAATGTGTCAATAATTAATTTGTGGAGTTTTCATACGGGCTGCATCCGAGCCCCCTATTGACAATCTGGGAGACAGAAATTGAAAATTGGGGATGAAAATGTAAACAATTTTTATTCCAAAAGAAAAAAGAATCATGATGACCTCATTTTAAAGTGACTAGATGAACATGTTGGCCTAAATATGATGTGGTTAGGTCCTACTTGACTGGAACCTACAGAGTAAATGTGTGAAAGCTAACATTTGCAGAGTTGTTTTTATCTTGTTGTGTTTGACTGGTGTAAATTTAGATAATACCACACTGGGTCAATGCCTCAAAGTTTCCATGAGCCTTTATACATGAAATATCTGTGGAAACTCAGTAACTCACCGGGATCACATTCCTGCCTTCCACACATGCAGGAATTAGCGCTTTCCACACATGCAAACTAGTCCCAAAGGTGGATAGGATGTTCCTAATATCACCTGCAGGTGTCAGCAATGCAAGCCAACTGATTTAAGTGATCGAGAAGACATTCAGACGGAAATTATAAGCTGGGTAGCTATAACGAACAATGCCTTTAGGAGCTGTGATTCTTCCAGTTGTCTTTTCATATAAGACTTTCATGGGCAGTTTTTTCGACAACTGACACATTATTTCACTCTTTTTGTGGACGTGGAAAGTTTTATTTTTCAGGACCAACCAGTTTCCATCTATCATCAAAGCTTCCCTGTTCTCAGTGGTGCTGTTTTTGCAGAGGTCAACAATATGTAGTTAGAGTCAGGACTGTTGTGAGGTAAAAGCAGTTACTCGGAACGTTTCCCTTAAGTGATACTAGGACTCGACCTGCTAAATTGCAAGGTCGATTATTGTGGCTTTAATCACACATGACCTTGACCCAGTAAATTGCCAGTAAATCTTTGGGTAAGTTGGTCAATGTGAAGTGCCTTATTACTGCAGGCCTTTTGAGATATAAAGTGTGTAAATCCATAAAGAATCACAATTCAGCTGGTCAATAATTGGAATTACACAAATTCTTCTGATCATTGATCAGTAAAGAGTGAAAATGCTGTTTCTCTTTTATTCATTAAATTCATCAAAACTGAACTCCCCTTCCTATGGTTCATAAACATGTCTTAATGTAAGTATTGCTCATTTCAATTTGTTTCACTATTCTCCATCAACTGCAGACATTCAGATTTTTCTTTGATTCATGTTGGTTTTATAAATAGGATTTGGTTTTGGTCCCCAGTAGTTATGAAAAAAAGGGTTGACAGTGATGTAAACATTTTAAAATAGCTAAAAGGAGGGGAAAAAACGAACGATTTACTCTAATCAGATTGGATACATGCTTTGACGTGATGTTAATAGTCCTTTGATAAAATCCTCGTCTGGGTCTTTAGTCACTGCTGCTTTCATCTTGCACTGATGTTTCCCATGGCTTTAAGCAGGTGGGCAGCGCTGTGCTTCCAGTCTGTGGGCTGTCTGTAGAGTCTCTTATTATCACAAGTGGGTGTTCGGAGAGCAGGGCCAATTGATTTGTCTGCTGGTAATGAGCCATTTCACATGAATGGAGGCATAGGGGACAGAACGCAGGCCAGGTGTTTTTATTTTTATATGTTGGTGGCTGTAGGATTTCTGATAACAATCTATGACTTGCAAACAATGGTTTATTTGGTTTAAGGTCCACTTTCATTTTGATCAATTTCACATTTGCTAATTTTTTATGGTTAATTTTAAAGTTAACAGAGACAAATGCATCTGTGGCCAATAATCTTCTAGACAATAAACTATTTATTTGGTATTTATATAATAGAAATCAATGCTCTGGGAATACTCCGCACATAAGTAATTATTTATGCTGTTCTTAATGACCGATCAAGCTTTTCCATAATGGAAACCTTCAACTCATTCATCCTGGTTTCATTAACTCTAATTGTTTTCTAATAAACTATACCCCAGAGGTATTGGCCTTATTCCATTATAAACCTAAAAAAAAAAACGGTTTAATCCTTAAACGTGGTTTAAGTTCCACTCTTCTTCCAATTTCAATCTTATATTCATTTTGTCCTTTTTAATGATTTACCTAAAGCATTATTTATCCAGAAAGATTATGTAATACACAGCTTTTTCGTTTTTGAAGATAAGATTTGAATAAAATGGAACCGAAATGAATTGGAAATGATATATATATATATAAATATAAATATTATATATATATAATATATAAATATTGATCCAGAAAAAAGGCTATATATCTAAATATGTCCATATTTACTGTAGGAGCAATAATTACAAATAACAGTAGGATAAAACAAAGGCTGCTTGAGGAAAACAAAAAGCTTCGATTTTAAGATCTCCAGATACTGTTATAGGGATCTTTCGGTGGCTGAGGGGTGCAAAAGCATTGCAAAGACATTGATGTGCTGCAAAAACAGAAATTAGATTAACACAAAAACACATGCACAGGAATAATGCTGCGAGAAGCAAAAACAAGTGCAAGCAAGAAAAGCTGAAATTTTGCTCCACATAACAGGAATTGCTCCCGACCACTAGAGGGAGACAATCATGAACTCTAAAGGCCTGGTTATACAGCAGTGTGTTGCAGTGATCTTATCGCAGGTATGACGCAGATATTTTTACATTTATGCCAAATTTTGAAGCATGGTCTGCACTATGTTATTCCGCGCCACAACGCAAGAGGGACAATCACGAACTAGCTGTGGGTCTAGATACGGCCTAGGCGGTGAGGAAGTGGAAAAACACGAGGGGCAAGTTTGTGTGACAACGTAGGGAGATGAGGACAAAAAAGAGCGGGGGTCCAGGTGGAAAAAGGGTCCCAGCGTTCTCGCGTACTTCGCTCTTATAGCTGGTCCATCTTTACGAATCGTTTTCCCCAATGGGGAAAATTGTCATACAAACAAAACGAGCCGGTAAGGTAGAAACAGGAAATACGCATACTGTAGAGCGGATGTAGATTTGACCAATCAGAGGCCTCCTGTCTGCAGTCACCTACAATTTCTGAGAGGTGCAGCAGAGTGGCTGCGGAGGGGGCGGGGACATACCTGCATTAACTGCAACACACATGCAGACATACAAACATAAAACAGCCTTAATGGGACCAGATCATAGATATTACTTAAAATTACTACCTATGGACCAGATGATTAACAAAAAACATTAGCGATATGCCTGATTTGAATCCTTTCTTAACACTTAATATTCCTCAGTATCGCATTTATGGGTTTACTAAGATTTTGGTCCCATAATGAGGTTAGTGATCATCTCCCCCTAGTAGCCAGCTTTTATTAACTAGCACTTCTTTTTGCACATATTTTGTGTGTTAGCATCTTTCAGTGGGTTTTGTGTTTGCATTTGCACTCTGCTGTTACTTCAATGCAATTGTAGCCTCTCTCTTTTGCAGCATTTGGCCTTTGCACATATTGTTTGTGTTTATGTGTTAGCCTCAGGTTTTTGTGTTTGTGATATGTTTTTTATATTTGCTGCACATTTATGTATTTGCAGCACGTTTGCAACTCTATACCACCAAGTTTCTCTGTAAAAACCACTAGGCCATAGTTGCACCTTACAATCATAGACATGACTGGTAAATGCCCCTAGGACTTTAAGTAGAGCTGGTTTGGTAATTTAAATAAAATGCTTTTCCTAAGCAGACTAAGGTTTTAAACAAAGGAGGAATTTTTATAACCACCCTAAGCCCCCTGATAAGCATGGAGGAGGATCTGTGGTGCTGTGGGCTTATTTCTCCTCCAAAGACCATGAAAAGATGAGCAAGCAAAATATCCAAATTTACTCCCAAGAATCAACAGAAAATTTTAATTTTAATCTCCTAACCCCCTTTAATAAAACCTTAGACAAGTCGTCACAAGAAACTGATCCAGTTACCAGTTGCAGGATTAAGATTTTTATCCTAAAACAGTAAATGTAAACATGTATCTTTAATAAAGCTGTTCTAAAAATAAAGATCAATTTTTTTTTTTACTAAGATTATGCTGATGCAGTAAAATACTCATTTATTTAAAGGCTTTTTTACACATCTTTACCAGGAGTGCAAATAAACGTAAAGGGCGCTGTGTTGAGTCTTTATGTGTAAAAATATTTCTAGCAGTGTTTTTGAAGAAACTCAGTAACACAAGAGCTGTAGTAGAGACGTATAAAAGCTTTTTTAGGCAACTTTACAGTAGATGGTAATTTTAAACTGTTTACAGTGAGATGGTGCGTTTAAGAAACTTGCGTTCACCTGTTTTCTTCCTGTTTGCTCAAACCTAAAAGATAACCTGGTGATCTTTAAAACTATATATACAAAGAAGGAGGAGATAGAACCACATTAAAATTCAACAGATCGATTAGATAAAAAAACGGCTGCTAATTTTCTGTTATGTGAAACTTTAATTAAGCCAATCGGCTCTGAAATCACAGCCAAAAAGATTTAATTTGCTTTTCTGGATTTCAACAGTTTCATTTAGCCTTAAATACATTAATTAAGTTTGAAATAACTTTGTCAATAATCAACAGATTGGACACATGTGGGCTCAGTCCTTCTTTGTACCACGTTAAACAAAGATCAGGTGTCAGAATGGTTCAAACAAGGCAAAGCCTTTCCTTCAAATGTAGCTGTGTGTAGAGTTTATATATATGGGTTTGTGTTAATGTGTGTGTGTGTGTGTGTTTGGCACACATTTGGTTGACAGAAAACAGCAGACGGGATGAGAAATCCTCAGTTTCAGCGTTCCAACTCCAGCTTACAGTTCCTGTTGTGGCAACAAATGATGAGGCGAGGCGAGTGGTGAGCAGTCGCATCAGAGGCCGAGATGGAGATCAACAGTCTGGGGTGAAGGAATAAAAAGAAGACATTAATAAAAAAAAATATTAATTTGACACAAAAGTACTTTCTCCTCTGTAACCCCTTTCTAGCTTTTATTTTTACCCAGGCATATTGCTTTTGTTTAATTTAGAGAGCCTGCTGGCAGCTTGGGTAAACATTACAGAGCGCTTCATATCTTTGTGAAAGGATTTCCTGATTGGTCTCATGGCCGTTGTTACAGATGTCAATATTGTGGCTTTGTGAAAGCTTTATTATTTCCTCAGATTATTATTTCCACCTGAGCAGCATAAAGTTTCTGATGGTCTAAAATTGGATCATTTTAAAATAATACAGTGGCAGAACCATCAGAGGTTGCTTATCTTCAGATTGATAACAATCAGCTTTTTGAAGGTTTATTTTAGCCTCTTTTTTCTGCCTTGACTGATAACAAAAGAAGTTCACAATTCAAGGACAGGAATACGAAAAAATTGTTGTTTTATTGTATTTATCTCTATTTAATTTAACCAACATACCATTCTAAACAGGGATCAAAAGAGGACCAGGGATTCTGTGGAACTGGCTCCTATACTAACATCATTTGCAATCTGAGGACAAATCACAAGCTTTTTGTAGAGGGCCAAAAGCTTCTTAAAAGTTATTTAAGCACTTCTTTTAGCTGGAAATGACCAAGCTTTTTAAAAATTTCATATGTATATATATATATATATATATATATATATATATATATATATATATANTATATATATATATATATATATATATATATATATATATATATATATACATATGAAATTTTTAAAAAGCTTGGTCATTTCCAGCTAAAAGAAGTGCTTAAATAACTTTTAAGAAGCTTTTGGCCCTCTACAAAAAGCTTGTGATTTGTCCTCAGATTGCAAATGATGTTAGTATAGGAGCCAGTTCCACAGAATCCCTGGTCCTCTTTTGATCCCTGTTTAGAATGGTATGTTGGTTAAATTAAATAGAGATAAATACAATAAAACAACAATTTTTTCGTATTCCTGTCCTTGAATTGTGAACTTCTTTTGTTATCAGTCAAGGCAGAAAAAAGAGGCTAAAATAAACCTTCAAAAAGCTGATTGTTATCAATCTGAAGATAAGCAACCTCTGATGGTTCTGCCACTGTATTATTTTAAAATGATCCAATTTTAGACCATCAGAAACTTTATGCTGCTCAGGTGGAAATAATAATCTGAGGAAATAATAAAGCTTTCACAAAGCCACAATATTGACATCTGTAACAACGGCCATGAGACCAATCAGGAAATCCTTTCACAAAGATATGAAGCGCTCTGTAATGTTTACCCAAGCTGCCAGCAGGCTCTCTAAATTAAACAAAAGCAATATGCCTGGGTAAAAATAAAAGCTAGAAAGGGGTTACAGAGGAGAAAGTACTTTTGTGTCAAATTAATATTTTTTTTTATTAATGTCTTCTTTTTATTCCTTCACCCCAGACTGTTGATCTCCATCTCGGCCTCTGATGCGACTGCTCACCACTCGCCTCGCCTCATCATTTGTTGCCACAACAGGAACTGTAAGCTGGAGTTGGAACGCTGAAACTGAGGATTTCTCATCCCGTCTGCTGTTTTCTGTCAACCAAATGTGTGCCAAACACACACACACACACACATTAACACAAACCCATATATATAAACTCTACACACAGCTACATTTGAAGGAAAGGCTTTGCCTTGTTTGAACCATTCTGACACCTGATCTTTGTTTAACGTGGTACAAAGAAGGACTGAGCCCACATGTGTCCAATCTGTTGATTATTGACAAAGTTATTTCAAACTTAATTAATGTATTTAAGGCTAAATGAAACTGTTGAAATCCAGAAAAGCAAATTAAATCTTTTTGGCTGTGATTTCAGAGCCGATTGGCTTAATTAAAGTTTCACATAACAGAAAATTAGCAGCCGTTTTTTTATCTAATCGATCTGTTGAATTTTAATGTGGTTCTATCTCCTCCTTCTTTGTATATATAGTTTTAAAGATCACCAGGTTATCTTTTAGGTTTGAGCAAACAGGAAGAAAACAGGTGAACGCAAGTTTCTTAAACGCACCATCTCACTGTAAACAGTTTAAAATTACCATCTACTGTAAAGTTGCCTAAAAAAGCTTTTATACGTCTCTACTACAGCTCTTGTGTTACTGAGTTTCTTCAAAAACACTGCTAGAAATATTTTTACACATAAAGACTCAACACAGCGCCCTTTACGTTTATTTGCACTCCTGGTAAAGATGTGTAAAAAAGCCTTTAAATAAATGAGTATTTTACTGCATCAGCATAATCTTAGTAAAAAAAAAACTTGATCTTTATTTTTAGAACAGCTTTATTAAAGATACATGTTTACATTTACTGTTTTAGGATAAAAATCTTAATCCTGCAACTGGTAACTGGATCAGTTTCTTGTGACGACTTGTCTAAGGTTTTATTAAAGGGGGTTAGGAGATTAAAATTAAAATTTTCTGTTGATTCTTGGGAGTAAATTTGGATATTTTGCTTGCTCATCTTTTCATGGTCTTTGGAGGAGAAATAAGCCCACAGCACCACAGATCCTCCTCCATGCTTATCAGGGGGCTTAGGGTGGTTATAAAAATTCCTCCTTTGTTTAAAACCTTAGTCTGCTTAGGAAAAGCATTTTATTTAAATTACCAAACCAGCTCTACTTAAAGTCCTAGGGGCATTTACCAGTCATGTCTATGATTGTAAGGTGCAACTATGGCCTAGTGGTTTTTACAGAGAAACTTGGTGGTATAGAGTTGCAAACGTGCTGCAAATACATAAATGTGCAGCAAATATAAAAAACATATCACAAACACAAAAACCTGAGGCTAACACATAAACACAAACAATATGTGCAAAGGCCAAATGCTGCAAAAGAGAGAGGCTACAATTGCATTGAAGTAACAGCAGAGTGCAAATGCAAACACAAAACCCACTGAAAGATGCTAACACACAAAATATGTGCAAAAAGAAGTGCTAGTTAATAAAAGCTGGCTACTAGGGGGAGATGATCACTAACCTCATTATGGGACCAAAATCTTAGTAAACCCATAAATGCGATACTGAGGAATATTAAGTGTTAAGAAAGGATTCAAATCAGGCATATCGCTAATGTTTTTTGTTAATCATCTGGTCCATAGGTAGTAATTTTAAGTAATATCTATGATCTGGTCCCATTAAGGCTGTTTTATGTTTGTATGTCTGCATGTGTGTTGCAGTTAATGCAGGTATGTCCCCGCCCCCTCCGCAGCCACTCTGCTGCACCTCTCAGAAATTGTAGGTGACTGCAGACAGGAGGCCTCTGATTGGTCAAATCTACATCCGCTCTACAGTATGCGTATTTCCTGTTTCTACCTTACCGGCTCGTTTTGTTTGTATGACAATTTTCCCCATTGGGGAAAACGATTCGTAAAGATGGACCAGCTATAAGAGCGAAGTACGCGAGAACGCTGGGACCCTTTTTCCACCTGGACCCCCGCTCTTTTTTGTCCTCATCTCCCTACGTTGTCACACAAACTTGCCCCTCGTGTTTTTCCACTTCCTCACCGCCTAGGCCGTATCTAGACCCACAGCTAGTTCGTGATTGTCCCTCTTGCGTTGTGGCGCGGAATAACATAGTGCAGACCATGCTTCAAAATTTGGCATAAATGTAAAAATATCTGCGTCATACCTGCGATAAGATCACTGCAACACACTGCTGTATAACCAGGCCTTTAGAGTTCATGATTGTCTCCCTCTAGTGGTCGGGAGCAATTCCTGTTATGTGGAGCAAAATTTCAGCTTTTCTTGCTTGCACTTGTTTTTGCTTCTCGCAGCATTATTCCTGTGCATGTGTTTTTGTGTTAATCTAATTTCTGTTTTTGCAGCACATCAATGTCTTTGCAATGCTTTTGCACCCCTCAGCCACCGAAAGATCCCTATAACAGTATCTGGAGATCTTAAAATCGAAGCTTTTTGTTTTCCTCAAGCAGCCTTTGTTTTATCCTACTGTTATTTGTAATTATTGCTCCTACAGTAAATATGGACATATTTAGATATATAGCCTTTTTTCTGGATCAATATTTATATATTATATATATATAATATTTATATTTATATATATATATATCATTTCCAATTCATTTCGGTTCCATTTTATTCAAATCTTATCTTCAAAAACGAGAAAGCTGTGTATTACATAATCTTTCTGGATAAATAATGCTTTAGGTAAATCATTAAAAACGACAAAATGAATATAAGATTGGAATTGGAAGAAGGATTAAAGGATCAGACTAATTGAATATTAAATAGTACAATTTAAAGGTTAACGCTAATATTTTTCAGAAATAAAATTTTTTTTTCCAAGGCTCTTTACACATGTTTATAAAGATGCTTATTCATGTGAAGGTCACTGTGTTTTTTGGGCAGGTTAACAGCTATATTTAACTGAAATCCACACATAGTGAGGAGTCTGCTCTTTGGATGACGGGGTGGGGGGGGTTCACTCCATTCAACATGTTATCGGTGAGATTTGTCTAGTTTTCCAACCTGAATAACCCCATCACAGACCATCAAGTCAAGCTAGATTCTCATTGGAGAATATTCAGCTTGTATTTATGGAAATCTGCTTATAAGACGATAATAACTGTTCATTTGACACCGTAGCGGTTCACAGATCTGCCAGGCAGAAAGACAGAAGAGGAAGACGAACACACGCAGCCGGTCTGCGATGTCAACATGGATATAGAGCTGCAAATATTCCCCCTCTTGTCCGCCTTCAGATTCCACTTAATAGCAGTATATCAGATGAGGCTGACACATGACTGTCAAATCAATTCCATGATGTCTGAGTCATGTCGCTTCAGAGGACAACTGAGGAAAGACCACCAGAGGAAAAGGAAACAGAGCTATACATTGTTGTTGTTTTATTTCTCGAAGCTTAACAGCATTTTGAACTTTTTAGTAACACAAACTTAGTAGGAAAATTATCAATGTTTTTCTTTTTGGCATCTTAAATTTTCTATTCCAACTGTATATAACGCAATGGTATATACTATAGTAATAAGAGTAGAATGACAGAAACTATAGTACATACTGTGGTAAGTTTTCCTCATTTGCAAAACAATGAACACAATTTTAATATGAAGTGACACACTACAATGGTATATGAAATATATAGTATACATATAATTGATAATACTATATAGCCTAGATATCTATATACTCTTTTATAAAGTGCCTCATTTTTGATTGTAGCTGTTTTTACACAGGTGATCTTAAAATGGGTTGTTAAAACGGGGAGAAGAAAAAAAAGAACATTTCTCTTCAAAGCTTAAATTTGTGGAAGAAAGACAGACCAGAAACGTAACACTGCTGCCATTCAACAGTTAATAGATTGCCTTAAAGTGTTTTATCAGAGACATTAAAGTGAAAAAAAAATCAATCTGTTTTGATTTTGTTTGCAGTGCCTAACACTGAAGCCACAATGTAAGCACATGCGTCCCTCTCCCTTTCCGTTGGGTTTTGTCAAAATCTGGTTTGGCTGAAAAAAAAAAAGAAAGAAAGAAAGGATCCTCTGCTCATATGTATTTTTAAAACATTAATCCTAATTTCTTTTCTATTTCTCTTCCATACATGCAGCTCAACAATACTTTATAAATTAGTCATACATGGTTACTTGCAAGTATTTCAAGTCTTTGAATGGTGAAACCACAAAGTTTAGAATGCGTTTTATCAGGATTTTATAAGACAGACTAACAGAAGGCAGAAGAAATGATTGAATCCAGTTTCTCTATATCCAGATGCGAATCATTTAGGTTCCACCATCTTTGCACGTCTAAGATCCTTGCAAAGAGTCTGGGATGTAAATTTTTTAATACTTGCTAATGATTACCACTTGGATTAAGTCCAGAGTTTTTTGCATTTTTATCTCCTCCCTGCAATTGATAGTCTGTTGGTCTGTCACATAAAACCATGATGACATAAATAAATACCACTACTTTTTAACTTTCCCAGTTTTGTACGTAAAGTGACCATAGTGTTGTATGTAAATAATGAATCCAATGATGATATGAATTATGTTTTCAAAGTGCTCCCTGAACCAGTTTTAGAAAAACGGAGCGTGCTCGTCTGCATCAAAGCAAAATGAACACGCTGTCAATGGTTTGATGATGTAGATGTCGATTGGGATCCCAGAAGTTGTGAATAGTTCTGTTTTATCAGTCATTTTTTTTCTTTCCTCACAATCAAACATCCAAAGTAAAATTGGATCAAGATCTTTTACACCCATTACCACTTTTTTTATTTATTCTGGTGCAAATTACCCCAAAGAATTAAAACAAGATAAGTTAAAAAAAACAATTAGGGATCAGAATAATTTGTCGGTCTGATTTAGGAAACACAAACATAATTTAGATATATTTAGTTTTTCTCTTTTTAACACTCGCTGTGTTTCTCTGATGGCTGTGCTTTGACTTGGGTTTGACACCAGAGCCCCTGGCGGCAACATTTGGCCTGTTGTGATGTTCATGAAACTGCAGAATATTTGTGTTGCAAATACTTGGTGGAAAAATAAAATGTCTGCTGTGTAATGCCGAAAAAGGTGATGCAACGTGGAACCAAACTGTTTGAATCCAGGGCTCTGGCTGAGTGCACACAGGGTAAAAACAAATGAAAAGCTTCTTGAAGTTCAGATATTTTGTAGCTTTTCCCACATTTAGAGAAAAATTTTTTTTTTACAACCAATCTCTCGTTTAAACAAAAACAAAACTTCTTTTAAATGAATCCTTTGATCAATATTCACCTGATTTAGCAATTACAAGTGAGGAAAAGGTGGCAACCAGAGTAAAAGAAGTCGAAACTGGCCTAAAGAGATACTCTTCAACAGAAATGTAAAAATATGATTATGTTGGTTTTTCAAAGTAAAATACTTTTTTTTTACCAACATTGTTTTCCAGATTTTAATAGCAGTTTGATTACTCTAATTATACATTCCCAGATTCTTAAATACCAAAGATGATTTATGTTGCCATTAAGTTTCCAATTGTGATTTTTAACATTTGTCAGAATACCATTAATATTGACAATCTTAACCAAACAGCTGCTTGAGTTTATTTTACAGAAAGCATATTTTAATCTGATTTATTTATTCTTGCAGGGCTTCTATTCTAACTGTGGATTGGAGGGATTCTCTGACTCCACTTTATAATCTCAAATCAGAGCAGACGCAACAGTTGGTGTTACTGTAAATCCACTTGGAGAGTCTGATGTTGGCTTAGGAGCAGAAAACAGATGATAAGAGAACCAAAACTACTGTAGTTTAACACCTTTGGATCTGTTGCATTTTCTTCTTTTCACCTGATGTGTCATCAGGCCTTGTTATTTGTTAGAGAATAAAAATGGCTGCTTCCTCACAATATTTCACAGCGACACACCGTAGAAACCACTCCATGGACTCTAAATGTGGGAAATGATACCGTATGTACAATCAGGAAACCTGTTATATTACAGTAGAAGAACATTATATGTATTTTGAATCAAATGATCCTACTTTGATAATGGTGTAAAGGATGAACAAGAATTATAGGTATGTAAAGTTTAATGTGTATAGAGAAGCTTGCTTGGAGGGAAGGGAGGGACGGGCGGCATGGGGTTCATTCTGTTCCTGGCAAAACAGTTAAAACAGAATATTGATGATTTTTTTGTCTGTGATGTAGACAACATCAATGTTTTTTTTCTTTTGATAAAAGGCAAAGTGATATAAAAAAAATAAGGATTCTGTCTTTCTTTTTATTTGTTTTGTTTGAAGGTCTGAGTTCATAATTTGGACTCTAATGAGTCTAGACTGCTGCTCAGTAAGCCATCACTGGTCTGAGGTTTTAAAGGATAAGCTCATGGACAGAGGGTACGTGTATTTAATCCCAGCCTGCTCTGTTCGACAGATGGGATTTGTACATTTGGAAAGTTGGGAGGTAAATAACAACTGAGGGAAGTTTCTGCTGCTTCAGTTTTACTTCAAGTATTTTTATGAAATTATACCTAAGAAGATGAAACTGAAGCTTCCTTTCCAGGAAGGAACCTGAGCCAGTTAATACGTACTCCTCCTTGGTGTTAATCTTCTTTTATGAATTGCAGGTTGTTTAAAGAGGTTCTTGTTTAAAGACAAGAATTACAGGAATCACGGAGCATTTTCAATCCGGACATGATCACATTTATACATAAAATAGCACACAGGCTCAAATATACACAAAGCAATCACTCTTTGTGTAAAAGACAAGCCAAGAAATGGCTCGAGTACGAGTGTTTTTTTTGGTAAAAAGGGCTGCAAGTATTGAGTACCTGTTGGATTTAATGATTAAAAATGTAGCCTACGTAATTTAACTATTAGCCAGTAAAGTGAAGCTCTGGGGAACTTCTGAATAGCAGAACAATCCTAATTTGTATCACTCTTAAAGTGCTTTCTCTCAGGAACTAATCCGAGTATTTTGCCCTGTTCTTTCCAGTAGAGAGGCTCTCAGAGGACTTCCGTCATTTAGGCAGGGTGATCGATCCATGGTGGAGTATATTACCCACTTGCACCTGTTATCTTCTGAGAGTACCTGGATGAGAACCTTTTTATTTTTGGCCATAATGAAAGAATTAAGGATGAACTTTCAACTCGTGACTACCCGGACCTGGAGGACCTGGCCACCCAGATACAGTAGTAGCCATTCAAAATGGCCCTTCCCAGTCAAACGCCAGCCGAATGGCAGCCCACTTCCCTCCAACTCCCAGCGAAATCCCTTCCAACTCCCAGCCACTGGAGTGACCCCCTCCTTCTCATGGGCGTGCATATTTTTTTACTCTGACTTCACCCTTTCACTGAATTACAGGGTCAGATTAGGAGATGAAGCTTCTCTTTAGATCTCAATGTCCACAAATCATGACAGAAAGAATATTTTAGTACATATATCGATGTTTAAAAAGGACTTGTAGGGGACCAGCCAAGGGCCCATTAGGGAAAGTGGGGAAATTTTGAATGGCTACTACTGTAGATCTACGTCTCACGGAACGTCACAGAGAGCCGTGACATTGTCAAATTCACATAACTTATATTTATAGCTTAATTTACATTTTAACTTAATATGTCAACCATAAACTGATTTAAAAAAGTAGAGTTATTAATTATGCACACCATGATACTAACATAAATTACAAATGTGATGTGTATGTTATGGAGAACCATACCATTTAATAGCATAGATGCATTAATACATGAATATATTTATTAGATAGGGCTTAATGATGATCCAGCCTTTCTGTCTGATGTTGTGCTTGTATATTTTGCCGCTGGTTTTGTGTGATTAGTGTAGATTGAACCTGGACGTGTTCAATGGACCAGCAGTCTTCTGTTACTCCTTGATGCAACCCTTATGAAACTTTTCTGGCTTTCTGGAGAAGCCAAACCATTTTCTTTTTCTTATATCAGAGCATTAATTTGTTGGATGATCCATTCACCTTGAAAAACAAACAATTACAGTACCTCAAATGAATACGACCCATATCCATGATGAGTTCATGCAATCCTTCCACCTGCATTCAATATATTTATTCTCTGACACACAAACAAATGAGTTATTTTCCTCAACTGCTGTTGTCTCCTCTGGCTCTTTCTTTTGGTGAACTAAAACCTCAAATCAAAAATGTTACAATGTTACATTTCTCTAAAGCTTGGATGCAATGTGTTTCAGAAACACATCACAGGGGGACTACAATCAGTCCATTACTGAAGCCTTGGAGGAAATTGGCTTGGATTCTCTGGAAAAGAGAAAATAGTACCATAAATAAAAGCTATGAAAAAACACCTGAGGTCTTGAGAGGTTAATGGCAGCACTAATATGGAGATTTAAACTGAGGGTTAATAATCCATTGATAGAGAGGAAGAAGGAATAAAAGGTTTTTCTCTTCAGCACCTCAGATGTAATCTTGCTTTATGTAACCCAGAGAGTTTGGGATGTTCCTGCTTCAGTTGAAGAAGGAAATGTTCTCTCAGACAGCCCCAATATTAAATCTTAAAGCCTAATTATGCATGAAGCCATTCGAAGAGCTGGGAGCACAGAGTTCCCTGGATTATTCTGATCAAGGATGTTCTGAGAAGTTTCTTGATAAGATGGTGTTTGCTGCGTGCGTGCTTTGCTACTTTGTCATGAGAACTCGTTTTGATGCTGCAAGATGCATTTTGGCAAGTGAAACTACTTAATTTATTTGACACAAAAGGATCTGATTAGAAGAGGACTTTAAAGAACTGCCTTTCTGTTGCCACATGGTCTGATTCTAATATTCATGGATGCAATGAAACCAGGCGTAAGCTGCTGACCTTTCATAAGTTGAAATGCTAG